CTCATTCAATGCAAAAAACACATTAAATCCTACTTCTACTACCAACCAATTTACGGATTCTACACCCACATATTCAATTCTACCATCGACAACAAGTTTAATAATATCAAGAAGGTATACGTTGGACGATGGACCAGGTGCCACAGTGGGTTGCTGCGTAATATTACCTAACATAATATATACGTATAAATATAGTATATATCTAAATATAAGATATACATAATAACGATAAAGGGATACTTACCAAATGCTATAATCATTATGTTGCCTATTAAAGCAGCAGAATGGTGTGCAAGTACTGGTGGTGCAGTATTGAAAGCTTTTGGAGTTGACCATTGAAATGGGGGCGTACTTTCAGTATCTAAAATAGCAAGATCAGGATTGGCAGGAGAAAGTAATTCTTCATTTTCTTTACCACCATAAACAATGATTCTACCGTCCATTGCTATATTGAGCAAAAAAAAAAAATCAAATAAACAAGACATTATATAATGTGGATATTATAATGTGAATATTATAAATGTGAATGACAATTTAGATCCTACCTAGTACTGCGGAATGACCTGTACGGACTCCTGGTATAGTTCCACTTGCGGTCTATCGGAAGGGATCGTAAATAATTATTAATACAATAGTACAATATTAAATCAACATAAAATCATAGTTGTATAATAATGCGTTATTTACAATCGGGTTCCAAAAACTTTTTTTCGTATCGAAGGTCCATAACTAATTGAAACAAGAATGTATGCGAATTATTATATATTCAGGAATTAATAATGATAAATTGTATGATAGAATTGATAGAATTGATAGAATTATACCTTATCCATTTGTCTGTAACTTATTCCCGATCCAGAAGAAGTAGTGGCTTGTCTACCCCCAATATATACTTTAAAAATGACACCTTTTAGTATGATAAAACACTAAAATCCATTTTATATTTACTTTTTGAAAAGACTTTTACCTATCGTTCCATTACTCAGCATCGTAGCAGTAAAATCAGCTTGAGGTAGAGGAAGGTCAAGGCCAGAAGTTGCAACTATTAACCAAGACAAACTCTTTATATCAAAAATATTCATATCTCTGAACCATCTAGTATTTTGAGATCCTATCGAAGGTCCTGATAATCCACCAAACATATAAACTCTAGAACTATCTTGTGCAATTTGAAATTCCATTCGTACAAGTGGAACAGCTCCCGAGATCGTTGGGTTACTCCATTGTTGAAGTTTTGTATCAAACGTGTATACGAAAGTATTGACTTGATCACTACTATTAGTCATTAAACCTCCAAACATATATATGGAATTGTTTGAACTATCAACTGCGCTAACTTGCCAGCAAGTTGCCACTGGAGGGGCTGCAATTGATGTAAGATCAGTCCATGGAATGCTATCCGATGTACTAAATGATGATGAAATATCTAAATAAAATACACTATTTTGACATCCTTCACTTCCATCAGAATTTTTACCCAAACCACCAAAGAAATAAAGTTTAGAATTGACTAATATAGAACTGGCAGAATATCTAGGTGAAGGTGTGAATGATTCAACGTGCTCGGTTGAATGAAAGAATACAATGTACAAGAGTAGTACATGAGAAATGTGTGTAAAAATCATTGTAAATTATAATCAAAAAAAAAAGAAAGTGAGAGCACTCTTGTAGTCATATATAAGGATTTAAACCGAAATTGTATGATAATTTCGCTAAATCATATATGATAAAAATCATTTTACAAAAAAAAATCTAATTAGAAAAGTTTTATTTTTTGGTTTTTTTTTTTCGGCTAATCCCTTATTAAATTAAGAAAGTAAGACCAACGGAACATTGTCTACCATTATTTAGCTTAATGTAACGAAATACTATACTTGTAGAACAGTGTTAAACCACGTTTCTTTAGTGTTTGGGAGTTCAATATATATTTTTTTATAACATTAGTATTAAATGATTGTCTTTTTTACTATAGAATTATACAAGACTCATTGTTAAAGCATTCAAAAAAATTATCGAACCGCAAAATGCATCATTTTGTACCGGTGTTGTATAACAATAAATTACTAAAAAAGGATGTTTTTTTATTTGATTCGTCATTTTCTTTCAGAAGTTTATTTTATGAATCCTACATATATATTCATGTATACTTTAAAAAAAAAATTTATTTGTAATAAAAAATTACGTATTTGAATTACAATAAATTTAGCTAAATATATGCACGAAAATATTAAACCTTCAAATACTAGGTATTTTGGTATGTATTAATAAAGTAAAGAATTAATAATGATAAGATCACAACTTGCCTTGTATTAAACAAGGAAAGTAAAATAAATGTGCAATTTGAATGTCACACGAATTAGTTAAGTACAAACATATTTTATTAATAAGAATTTAATAATTTTGGTTAATTTTAAAAAAAAACTTTCTATTCAAATTACGTTTAATTTTAGCAAATCTTTAATCAATTGTAACGATAAAAATAGAAATTTTTTGTCTTTTCATTTAAAAGATTAGCTTATTACTAGACTAACTTTATAAATCTCTATTTAAACAAAATATATACGTACGTACACACGTTCGTATGTACTGTACGTACGAACGTACGTATATAACAGATAACAGATAAATTTGTTTTTTTAAAAAAGTAGAACTGGGGTTAGTACTAGTACAGCATTGTGTATCCAAAATTTATCATATGATAATCATTGTATTACATCAATCGCGTAAATATATATGGGTTTGTTACCCTAAAGTATTAATATAGACATTCGCGTCAAACCAATTTTTTATAACCGAAATTGCCAATCATGTGTATTTCCTTTTATGTCCAACTAATCAGATCTTTTTTTGAATCGTACGAGATTTTTAAGCACCAATCTCTTGTCTAATTTATAAGCTTAAGATGTTCCTTAATAATGGTAAATAAAAGTTTACCATATAAACAAGTAATATCTTAAGGATGATGAATAATGATAATGAGGTGAAACCCAAATAAAACTCGGAGTTTAATTATAATTTTATAGTCTTAGTGCACTTATCTACTAAGAACCATCATCAGAAACCCTGTAAAGGTTAAATTTTGTATTATGCCAAAATGCACAGGTTGAATCAATGACAAGTTTCCTGATATGTACCCGATGGTCTGCTGTATATCAGCAGCATATTGGTAGGATATCGGAGGTAGATCGATATCGGTAACATAACAGCACAATATTGGGATCTTACTCTTAACACTCTGGGCCTAAAGGTAAGATATTGGGGTATCCCAATATTTCGCCGTTATGTTACTCATATCGATCTACCTCCCGATATATTACCAAAATGCTACTGATATAACAGCGGATCTATGGTAGACTATCGGGTACATATCAGGAAACTTATTCCACATTTCTATATGATCGCATGACGGGGGGGGTTTATAACTTATAATCACTACTTTAATCAGTAAAAAAATCGAGTTTCTAGCAATGTTTGTTATTTCCCCGGCAACGCTTGTTATTTCCCCGGACTTCCGGGGAAATAACAAACATTGCTAGAAACTCGACTTTTTTTATTGATCAAAGTAGTGATTATGAGTCGTAAAGCCCGTCATGACATCATATGAAACGAAGAATAATACCCTTATTTCGCCGCTACGGGGAAATAACCCGGTAGATCTCCACCTCACTGTGGGCCAGGGACACGGAAATTGTGTGATTTACTGTAGTGTGATTAAACCAAATCGCACTAAATCGCATAATTTTACATCATATTTATATTCGATAAAAAAATTGTGTATTCATTTATTCTCCGATTAAAAAATTTGCTAGTTGAGCGCAGTATTTAAAAAATTGCAAGTTTTTTTTACGAGTAAAATTTGCAAATCGCACTTTTAAATTTTAATCATCAGCAAATCGCATATATTACACATACCGCACGCATAATTTACAAATTCTTATCGCATAAATTCCGTGTCCCTGCTGTGGGCCCTTCGGGCCCACAGATGACCGGGGATGTACCTCTTATTCCCGCCGTTGCGGGAAATAAATAGTACTTAAAAAGACTAATATACGTATTAGTGAGGACATATTGACAAAAAAAAAATTCTTTATAAAATTTTAATATATAGTACAAACATTGGGGTGTCAAATATCGGTATAGTTACAAACATAATGCAAGACATATAGTAATTCTAATAATAAAGATTTTTTATATATCAACGATAGTAATAGTAAAAATCTCTTGAGCCACGAAAAAAATTTGTCAGGTTTATTTTAACATGCTCTTTAAAGTGATATCGCTCTCTTATTGTCTTCTTACAAGATATTCGATTTTAATAATTGTTTTTTTTTTATCTTAACACACATAAACAAAAATAAAAACGTTGTTACTTTAAAGAGCTTGTTAAAACGAACTTGAAAAAGTAATTTTAATTGTTGGTTTGAGAGTTAGGCCTCTTTCAACGGTTTAGATAAAAAAATTTTTTTGCACAGCATATTTGTGCCGAATTTTCAACACTGTGTCTGACACCCCATACAAACATCCATATTCAAAATACTAAATTCTAACATTAATTTTCTTATTCTAACACTAACTAGAGTGTCCAGACTTATGCGATTTCAGGGATTTTTCATTGTTGAACAATGAAAAATCCTAACACTAACCATAAGGATGATTTTATAATACGAACTTTCTCATCCTAATATTACCATTAGAGTTCCAATCTGTTAAGCGTTTATAATTATATCCGGATCTGAATTTATTCGTTTATTATTGATACGTATCCGGATAATTGTTCGAATACCTTTCGGATTATCCGAATATCTGGATTTTGAACTCTACTAACCATAAAGAGATGTTAGAATGATTTTAGAATACAAATTTTCTCATCCTAACACTAACCGTAAAAAGCTGTTAGAATGATTATTTTGTTTTATTTACCATATTTACTGTAATTATTGTTCTCATATTACACATCGATATCAATATAATGAACTCGTGATTACCCGCTATCCGACAATAATTCGTGATAAATTTTTAGTGTGGTCTACGAATTTTGAATTTAGCTGTAATGATGGGTCTAAATAGTTTCTATTTTGCTAGTATTAATATTACAATTCATATGCTCGGAACATAATTTCACGAAGACGCAAAATTAAAAAAAAAATTGATCATATTCATTTTAAATTTAATATGTACTATTGTATGAAACTGAATATGCACTTAAGGGAATTGCGAACATATATTGTCGAGTTTTAAAATTTTCTGACATATCAGATGTTATCCGATACTTCTATCAAAAAGTATTGGATATCTGTTATGCCGATAGATGAAAATACGCGTCAAAATCGGTTATATCGACATCTATAAAAAATATATATAACGTCCATAAAATTTCATTCAATATTTATTTTTATATAAATCAAACCTTGTATTTTATACACTGATAGATATCTCAGGATTAATTATTAATAAATTCAAAAAAAAAAAAACCCCCCGTTAAAAACTTATTCATTATTTTATCTAGGAAAAAGCAAAAATTTTTATCAAGTTCACTAATATAATCGTCATGAAACCTCGTCCAAGTATTTCTTTTTTAGTTTTATTTATTGCTGTCATTTTCAGCATTATAGTTTTTGTACCACTTATTGAAGGTAAACTTTGAACAACTAAGCAACAGTAATTGGCTAAATGCATTGATCAATTAAAACAATATATATATAGGAAAAACAGTATGGATCCAAAACAAATTGGTCGTAGGTACTATTGCTGAGGCTGTTGCTTTCGATGAAGATATTGAATATGATCGACAGCAAAGTGTTGCTCACCACGGTTTCAGTTTGACAGTACCTGATAATTCTACCCAATTTTGGGTCGTCTTCTCCGTTGTTGGTACAATTGAAGATGAGAAAAAACGTGGACCATTCGATAATACTCAAGATATCTGTTGGCATTTTCATGGTTCCCTTGATGCATGGACTGTAAATCCTTGTTCTTAAAACATAGGATATATGCACTTTCTAATATTATGCAATATGGTAATTGCGTTATAACGGTTATGCAGAGAATTTACTAATTTCTGTTGTTTATTATAATCATTTAATAAAGAACTCAATTTTAATTTTATAATGGTTTAGTATAAAAGAGCTATGGTTTCTTAAGAAAACATGGTAACTTTCTATAGCGAACTTTTTTTTTTTTCAGAATTATCAGTTTATTATAGAAAGTGTTGACTGTATTAATTATTTCAATATTCAATTAATAAATTTTATATACAGTATTTAAATTTAGTAACTTTTATTATAATATCTTTAGTAAAGCTGGTCAATCACATTTCGTCACCAATCTATACCTGGCCAGCACTAACTATAAATCAGGTCAATCGTAGGGTGTTTTCAAGCACCTTAATCAACCCGTCGGAATGGGTCTGAACAATACTAATGGAGATCAGTTAAATGGTGAGGTAGTTTTGATCTTGCTAGTGTCTGTTGGTTTGGTAATGAAAAAGTCATTGGGAAGTAGTTTAAAAATGTAGTATTCTCTAAGCTGGGAGATGACCTTAGCAAGTGGAACAGTAGAGGTGGCTTGGTTGAAGAGAAAGAATTTGCAGAATTTGTGGTTGAGCTCTTGATAGATAATAGGTAGTGGTTTTTTAGAAGATAGTAGATCAAATTATGAATTTGGGATTTTGGTAACTATATAAAAGTTTGCAAGTTTTTTTTTGTATGTAGCAAGATATTAAAGAGAAGATTAGTGAGAGATAGGAAATAGTTAGCATAGCTATAATTTATTGTAATAAAAAAGATGTAGAAAAAGTTTTGCAAAATATGTCTTGAAAAGTTTAGGGAATTTAAAGATTTTTTTTAAAGTATTTACTATAGCTCTAGTATGTAGTTACTATGTAATAGGAAGTTTAAATAGCAAAATTTTCAGAATTTTGATAGAAATTTGTTTAGATGTATTAGGCAGTAAAATAAGTTTGTTTTTAAAAGCTCTGTTAATTTGTATTTAGATCTCCTTAGAGATTTCCTTACTAGTGTTTTTAATTTGTAAAAATCTTCTAGCATACTAGATAGCTTTGTATATCTGCCTGTATGTAATTTTAAAGAAGTTAATATTAAAAAAATATTATAAGATAAGTATTTTTTTAAGTATAGTTAAATAGTATTGTGAGTAGTAATATTGATAAGTGTAATCTTGGTTTCTTTTTTGTATACAGCTAATACTATGTTGAAAAGATTTGGATCTTTCTTTTAGTATATAGAGGTGGTTTTAGAGCTATATATAAAAGTAGTGTATAGGAGTAGCCTTAGAGTTATATATAAAAATAATAAAAATCTGGTGTTTTAGTATATAAACTTGAGTACAATTACTTGTATTATATATAGTTAGTAATTAGCTTGTATAGAGGTCTGATCTAATGAATACTATATTTAAATATTCACTGAATATTAGAATATTCGAATAAAATTTTTTTCACCAAATTGAATATTCGAATATTTAGTTTATTCACCAAATAATTCATTGAATATTCATTGAATATATAATATTTATATATTTAAAAATTATCTAATTAATTAACTATAAATTTATTGATTAGTAGGTATAAAATTTTTTAAATTA